CTCATTTCAACCAGTCATGTGATTCGAGCAACCAAAGTCGAGGAACCAGATCTTGAATCCGACATGGTTATCAGCAATTGCATTCATAACCACTATATCATCATAATTATCTGAATCTTGACGTGCAAAGTTTGCTCCTTCGTCCTTGCCTTTTGTCGGTCCCTTTTCTTTTCTGTACCAAGAATGTTTGGCCAAGTGACCCCACTTTTCACAGTTATAGTATTGCACACCTTTTTTCTCTTCTTTTTTTTTATTATAGGAATTTCCTTCTCTTCTTTTTGAGGATTCAGAAGCCCTGTCATCGACCTTATTCTAGTGGGGATTCGACCAAGACTTCCTTCCTTGAGTCTTGTTGAATTTGACTTTGAATTTTTTGGAACCATGATTCTTTTTCCATGATTATGCCTGTAGTGCTTGTATCGAGTCTCGAACTCATTTCTTTTCGACAATCCTAATCTCATGTGCTTCCAGCAAACCAAACAAATCTTCCAGTTTTAGGGTTTCAAGTTGGTTGGATTATTGAATAGTTACGATAACGTGATCAAAGTGAGAGGTCAACGTACACATTACCTTCTCAAATATCATCTTATGAGTTAGAGTTTCACCACAACCCTTCATGAGATGAACGAGTTTCTACACCTTCGACACATAGCTTGAAATCTTTTCTTCTTTTCCCATCGACAATAATTCATATTACCGTTGCAAGATTTGTAACTTGAAAACTTTGACTTTCTCACCTCCTTCATAGTACTTGACAAGGTTGACATCAAAGGTCATGCTCGATAGTTTTAATGAACATCTTTGAAGATCGTCCCAAGCCAATGGTCAATTCTCTTTTCCTGCCCCAAATTTGAACTAGGTTTGAGGCTAATGTAATGAGACTCATGTCTACGCTCTGGACTGGTTAACTATCAAGAGGGGGTAGTAAGTCCTAATCACCACTTTATTTTGTAGTCTGTTGTCTTTTTTTTTATTTTAAATTTCACACTCAGAAGAATGGGGCCCCAGTAATCCAGAATTCGTGCTGAGAGATATAGGTCCTGGCCAAACATTATTTCTACCAGAAATCAAATTCGATATTCCTCAAGCCTTCGTTCCTTAACAGAAACTCGTTTATCACTCGAACACAAGTGCTTGGTTGTAGTCTATTATCTTTTTTATATATACTTTTTACCACCCGTGTAATCCAGTCTGAAAATCGATTCTAATATTAAGTGGTTCCAACCCCTTTCCAATCGCAGATTTTGATTAATTTAATTATATATTTATGATGTTTATGACAACATATCCTTTGCAGTCATAAATACAAATATTAATGAAAACTTTGAGATATATTCACACCACAATTGTAACACCATATGTGAGCAGAATAAAGAAAAATAACTTACACCATATGTAGTAAATCATTGTAAATGTGACACAAATCCTAATTTACATAAACATAATAAAAAAGGAAAAAATATAGTATAAAATTACGGTATATATTATATATATCAAATCTAGTGTTATTATATCATTTCTGAAACTTTATTTATTTTCATATAAGAATGTTACATAATAATACAAAATAAATTACATAATGTTAATTTAAAATACTTAACCAATCATATCGCTACATCTCAACATTTTCTATGTGGTGTGTCTCTGGTGTCTATCCCTAAAAATAGTATACAAATGGGTGGTGGCATGACAATTATTTAATATAGTAATTTCCAATTTTTTTTTTGTCGGTATTAATAACCGCGTAAGGTTGCTTGTGGTATGGTCGTAGTGTGGCCCTATTGTTCTTTGAATATTTCACTATTACGATATTACCCTTTGACATGTTTACAATGTCAACCAAATAATTAAAACTGGTTTCCACTATGGTATGGTCAGAATCAAAATAGTACTGTACACAGTACTGTATTATGGGTTCACATACTTTTTATTTCTTAAGTTTTATTTGATTTAAAAAGAGATAGACTCAAAAGTTTTAAAAAATTATAAGTATTTGATAATAAACATTCTATAATTATGAGAAGAAAAAAACAGAGAGGACCACAACTTTCTATTCTTCCGTATTATCTATCATAAGTTTTTTTTTTCTTTGGTGAGAATTATCACAAGTTATTTAACATGTTGATCTTTGTTAATAATTGGATATTCATTGATAAATCATATTATAAAATGGAGATAATAGATATAAAATTAAAAAGAGATAGTACAATTTTTTTGGATATATATAATTTAGATGACACATTTAAAGTAGAATAATATTATAAAAAATGACATTTATCTTAATATTTTATTTTATTTTAGAAATATTATACACCCTTTGTCTCATAAAAATCATCAAATTTAACAATTTTGTATATTTTTTTAAAAAGTTAAATGAAAGATAATTCTGATTTTATTCAATTTATAACATTAAATATTGATGTATTTCTTTTATCACAAATATAAAATAGAGAGATTATTTTGAAGAAAAGATTAACAATGCTTTGAAAACTAAAAGTGATATTTTTTTAGAATATACTTTTTATTATTGCAAATGTAATAATTGTTGATAAACAAATGGTGATATTATTTAATTTATAATATTAAATATTGAAGAAAAGGTTAACAATGCTTTGAAAACTAAAAGTGATACTTTTAAAAATATACTTTTTATTGTTGCTAATGTAATAATTATTATTAAACAAATGGAATACATATTTGAAAGAGAGCAAGAGCTAAATAAATATTTTATTAACACTCTCTTTATCTCTTATTTTTCAAAAATAAATATTTTTTTTAGAAGTTATTTTATTAGTAAGAGTTTAACAATGTAACTTCAACGAATAATGTTGGAATCCCTTCATCAGCTATACTAAAATACCAATGTATATTACATTTAATATAATTATTTATTTTTCTCTATTTTAACAAAAAAAGTCAAAACAAGTTATATTATTTTAAATGATAGTTAAGAATGTGCTCAAATAAATTTAATCCGAAATCTAAATCCAATTCATCTTCCTTTATGTTTGATTATTGCACCTCTCTTAGCATCTTACATCATTGTTCCATATGCGCATACTCATGATCTTGTTATAATTGTGAAAGAAATTTAATTCACCATACTCCTTCAATTCAATCATTCATTTTTTTTTAGAGGTTATTACACAAGCCAAGAACAAAAATTTAAGTTTTAATTATCATGTCAAATACATCTCTATTTGGTAATGACCATTCTAATAATAACTACAATATAAAAGTGGCCACTCTTGGCTTCTAAATAATAAAGAAGAGAATATTAATCACCATTTAACTTCTACTGACTCTCGGTCTTGAATTTCGAAGCTTTATCTTCTAGAAAATCAATCACGAAAGAAAATTATTGGATCAAGTCGCAGATTGAATTTCTTGCTTTGTCTAGCCAATCACAACTTTGTCCTTACCCTAACAATATCTTACAGCAACAATATGAACATTTTGATTTTGAAGAGTTATTATTTTCGATTTTGAAAATCAGTCACAAAAGAAAATTACTGCATCGAGTCATAGATTATGTAAAACAATGGAACTATCGCGTCGCCTCCATGATAAAACAACTCAGTTGTGCAATTACTACTTACACGTACTACAAGAAAAAACGTAATTAGTTAGGAGATAATCCCCTCACAAATGATAAAAACACCTCACAAATGTAAAGTTTGCAAGGGGACAAATCCCCTAGCTAAATAGGGAGTCGCAAATTGTTTGCGAGGAGCCATCCACCTCGCCATTCTGTTTGGGGCTAACCCCCTCGCAATTTGCAATCCATATTCTCCAAACTGCAACATACAGACGTAAGCGCATGTTAGGGGTTCAGCTACTGATGCAGTGCGTCAGAAATTTTGCTTGCGGTTAAATCCCTAACAAAATGTATACATTTTAAGAGTTGTGATGAGTTTAACCCCTGACGGATTATAATAATTTTTTTGTTACATGTAACCCTTTACAAACGTTTATATATATATATATATATATATATATATATATATATATATATATATATATATATATATATATATATATATATATATATATATATATATATATATATATATATATATATATATATATATATATATATATATATATATATATATATATATATATATATATATATATATATATATATATATATATATATATATATATATATATTATTTCACACATAATTTTTTTTGGTTAGATATAACCCCTTACAAATGTAATAAATTTAGTGGAGAGTTTATTCTCTGAGAAAATTTTCTGACTAAATAAATAAAGTTTTTCTTGTAGTGACGATATGTAATCATTTTAAAATTACATCTTTAAATGGTATGAAGACCGATCAATAATAGTGTTAAAATCACTCGTAATTTTTATCAAAAAATTAATTAGTGATTGTACTGAGTAGCCACTAAAAAATAGAAAAGAAAAATTTTAAAAAAAATCGAGAAAGAGAGTGAAGAATATGAGATTAAAAAAAAATAACAAATTGATATTTATAAAATATTTTCATTTAATAAAAATTTATTAATATTTATATTATTATCATAATTTTAAAATATGAATTTGATTTGATGAGAAATATTGATCGATAATGTAAAATTATTTTACAATGTATTTATATATATTTTTTCATCTTAATTACATTTTAATATGTATTGAATGGTTCCTATTCCACCTAGTTAAGATATTTCCACAAAAAAAACTATAATATTACTAGTTACTTATAAACTTTATCCACCATTTTAAAACTAATAAAAAACATGTAGACAAAACACAATTCAAACTCCATAAATAAACAAAATTCCATAAAATATAAAGTATTTCTCTAAGTAGACTTTTATGAAAACTTCCACTATCTTTGTTTATATATTCTTGTCTTTTCCCATTCCTTGCATCTTATCATCTCTTTCTCTCTCTAAAAAGTCAGCGCCTTCTCTCTCTCCTCAGAAAGCATCATTGTACAAAACAGACACTTTCAGACCTTGTCTCTAACGGTTATGGAGTCAGATTGGGATCTATATGCTGTTGTCAGAGGCTGCACCACCGCAACCTCCACCACCACCGCCACCACCGCCGCAAAAACCACCAGTACTACTACTACTATACCTTCTTCAGCTTATTTCTCTATTTACCCTGCTGAACAATCCGGTCAAGTTTTATCAATTTCAAACCCTTATGAATCAAGAAGTTCAGTTGGAGAATTACATGAACTTTGTAAACCTTTCTTCCTCAAATCACAGCCTCTCTCTTCAAATTCATTCTCTTATTCATCACCATCACCAAAATCAACTGGTCAAACAAAACAACAGCAGCTTAATAAGCAGCCTCAACATACCGGTTCTGCTACAACCCCAAGATCTAAAAGAAGGTAAATTTAGCTTCTTTTTTTATTGTTCATTCCATATAAATTCTTAAAAACCATTTTTTATTTATTGATGATTTGTGTGTGAATGCATGTTTTTGCAAATTACAGGAAGATTCAGCATAAGAAGGTTTGTGAAGTACAAGCTGAGAATCTCTCATCAGACATATGGGCATGGAGGAAATATGGTCAGAAACCAATCAAAGGTTCACCATATCCAAGGTCAGTCTTTTTTCAGAATATTTAAGAGTTTTCAAAAATCACTTATAATTAAGCTGTTTATAGCTTATTTTCATAAGCTTTCTTTTTTCAGTCTAGTAACTTAGTGGTTGGAATTTCGCGTATTGAGAATGAGAATAAGTGAGATGTTGCAGATTCGAATATGCGTTATTATATCTGATGTCTCTGTATAACTTTCAACTGATCTGACTTAACGAGACAATTTCATAAGCTTTCTAGAATAGTTGTTTATACAAATAGGGTCTATGGCTTAACCAAACTATTTTTTCTTTGTGAATTTACAGAGGATATTATAGATGTAGCAGTTCAAAAGGGTGTTTAGCTAGAAAACAAGTTGAGAGGAACAAAACAGACCCAACAATGTTCATAGTAACATACACTGGTGAACATAGTCATCCTGCTCCAACTCATAGGAATTCCCTTGCTGGTTCGACACGACAAAAGCCTTCGTCACCGCAAGCTGTCACGGCTGAAGACTCTTCGCAACCCTTTACAAAACAAGTTTCTCCGTCAACCTCAGAGGCTGAAGAGGAAGAAGCTACACCTTCGAAGTCGGAAAGCAGAGAGGATTTGGAAGATTTGATGAATGATGATGAGGAAAATGAATTTGAGTTATCTGATATGGTTGTAACAGATGATTTCTTTGAAGGTTTAGATGAATTGACAGGATTTGCTGGAAAAACAGTAGCTTCATCTGGTGGTGACTGTTTTGGTGACCCTTTTGCAGCTAATATTGCACTTCCTGCTTGTGGTGGTCAATGATGCTCCATTGTTCCACCAATGGTCGGACACACAAATATCAGATACGACACTGACATATTGATATTAGTATAATCTATGTGTCAGTATTGTATCAGATATCAATGTGTCAGATATTAGACATGTCTTCAATTTAAGTTAGAATATAATTTTTTCTTTTTGTTTTTGGAGGTTAGAGGAATTGGTACATTTTGGAGGAATATTAACCAACAATGTTTTGTGAGGGGGAAGAAAAGTTCTACCCAAAAGTATAGTGATAATGTTAAATTTAGATTAGGCATGTATATCTTTATGTTATAGTGATTGTTAGCCATACTTTTGGTAATGTACAAACAATTCATTTTTCAACATCTTTTGTTTGTCTATGTAATCTTTTAGAGTTAATTGAATTAATAATGGATTATGAAATTAATTTACCTAACACTTTTGCATTGACTTTTTCTTGTCCATCTAAGTTGTTTATGTTTGTTGAATTTAAAGTTGGTTGCATACCACTTTTATATTGACTTTTGGTAACAATGATTAATATTGTTTGACAATGAGATAGAAAGGTCCATAATTGTTGGATAATATTCCAATTTCAATAGTATTATGCTTAGCACCAACACTTTTGATTCCATCTTGACACCGAGGCTTGGATTAAAGGAAATAATAAGGTGAGAATAAGCTTGATGGAGTTAGACTTTTCATAGATAAGTATGCTTAGTGTAAAATATAATCACTTATTATTTTTAGGTATGGATTTGACTCTTTTTATTATATTTTTTATATTACTTATTAATAGACTCGTTTGATAATTTAATTTAATGGAATTACACACATCTCTTTCAATTTAATGAGTGGTTTTATGTTCGTTTTCAATCTTGAGGATACAAAAAAATTAACCTTTTCAAAAGAGATTTTTTTATGTCTAATATTGTTTTCTTTAATTTGAGGAATTAATAAATACAATTACGCCAAAAGAAATTCAATTCATTAAAAAAAAAAACTCATTTCATAGTGATATAATTAAATAAATAATGTGATAATCTTTAAAATAATATCTAGTATGATCTTTTGAAGAAATCTTATCGTAAAACAAAATCTTTATGCGATCTCTTTATTAAAGAAAATGATTTTAATTTTCATTGTGTGTTTAAATTCTTTTATGTTTATTAAAGAAATATTGGACGCCGGATAATTCTATCTCCTAATAAAAAATTTATCATATAAAAAAAAGTTACTATCCTTTAAAAATCTAAAATATCATTCTTTTTTCACATTGAACTATTTGATTGGATTACTTTTCAATTTCAATTGTTTCACATATTTTAAGACGGTTTCTTTTTTCAAATCTTTTTCATCATTACTATGCAACTGTTTCATCATCCATTAAACTCCAATCATTTTTTCATCTTTTACACCATTAAAATTAATTTCTATTTTTTTTTCAAGATCTAGACGAAGGTACAAATTAACTTGAAACAATATAAGTGTAAGTTTTAACGTTTTTGTTTTTTAAGATTATAAATCTATGCTTATATATAATCAATCATCTGTGTATTCTTTTGAATAATATGGATATACTTTTCCCATTTTTGAAGTTCATGACATAACTTTTCTTTTGGTTTTTCAAGTTATAGATACGTATAAAAAGATAAAAAAACTTAAACAACATAGATAAAATAGAAGTGTAAGTTTTAACGAGTGGTAGATATGTAACCATATGCATATTCTCTTGATAGTATAGATCTCATTTTGTCATTTTTGAAATTCATGATAAAATCCATTTTTTTTTAAGAAAATGAAAAAAAGTTAAACAACATTTATAACAGAAAGTGTAAGTTTTAATATTTTTTTAAATATTTTTTTAGATACGGATATGTTATCATTTGCCTATAATATAGATCTTTTTTTACTATTTTTGAAGTTTATGAAAAAATCTATATTTATTCCATTTTTTTAACCTCTTTTTCATTTCTTTTATTTTTTTCCATCTTTTTCAGTTGTTTTGTTTTTTATTAATTTCTCTCTTTACAATTTATTGTATATATTTTTTAAGTTTTATAATTATGAAGAAATATAACTATTTTTTTTTAATGTTGCTAAGCATTTAGAATGAGATGTTTTACAATTTGTTGTATATATTTTTTTATGTTTTATTATTATAAAAAAAATGTAACTATTTTTTAATATTTCAAAACATTAAGAGTGATGTACTTCAAATTTGCATACGCTGGTGCTGCAATTAATTTTTATTTTTATTAGGTTATACTAATTTATATTTTTCAATCACACTAACATTTAGATTTATAGGTATTTTAGTACATTTTAAAAGTATTTTTTATCTAAAATTATTTTAAAATATATGGTCGAGTGCTTTCTTAAAAAACTCTTATCTTGGTTATAATGTATTTACAAAAATATACATAAGTATTTTTTTAAGCAAAGCTTGTAATGGGTTCATAGTTGTATTAAGAGAGGACATTAGATTTTGACAACTCATGGGGGATTTATTTTAGAATGTAAATATTTTTGTTAATTATTTAATCATTTTGACCAGAGTCAACATTTTTTTTAAATTATTTTGTTTTTCTATATTTTTATAATTATTCAGTTTTATTATTTTGTTAACAAAACATATTAATTGTTTTTATTCAGGTTGACTCAAAGTCAACGTTTTATACATATTTCTAATTTGTTTTATATTTTCATTTAGTTATTTATTTATTTATTTTTATCAAAGAAAGGTTAACCAAATGGTCAACTAGGGTTTAGAAACCCTTTATCCAAAAGTTGCGCCTAATTCTAGGTATTTTTCAACCCTAAACTATTCAAAATCCCAATTTCCAGAATTAATAATCAAATACTTGTTGAATAATTTAAGAATCAAAAATTGAATTTATTGATTAAATTGGATACATACGCATAACAAGTCCAAATGCATTACACATACTAAAACCCTAATTCTATTATACAACTAAATCAATCTATTCCGATTTATAAATCAAATCCCAAATTGAATCAATTTAATTCCTAATTGATTTATAACAATAAACTAACTTAAATCTATTTTCTAATTCAAGCTACTCCTAAGCCTATAAAAGCCTAATTCTAAAATCTTGAGAAGAAAATTGAAAGAAGAAATTGAAGAAGAAAATTGAAAGAAGAAATTGAAGAAGAAGTTGGAGATCATAAGCCCTAAGGAATTCTTGGTGCCTTTGTTGCGAATCTCTCACCTTCAGTACCTGCAAAACAAAGAAAGAGAAAGAGATCAGAGGATGAACTATTATGAAAAGTATCACTACGGTTCAAGTAAGCCTCAAACTTATCTTAGGGTTTGATGATTGTTGTCGTTGTTGAATTTCTGAATGATTGGTGTTTAAATTGGGGATTTCTAGAAAATTTGGGATTAGGGTTCTAATTTTGGGTTAAGGTTCATCCTAATTAGGGTTAGGGTTCATGTATTGCTTAGGGTTCTTGGGTTTTTCTAGAAAAGAGATGGAGTTCCTAGCGAACTCTCATCTTCAACAGTGGCCTTCACGACCACTCACGGTGTTCTGGTGGTTAAGGTTCATGGGGTTTAGGGTTAGGGTTCTGGGTTAGGGAAGATGAATATATGAAGATCCCGGTTGAAGTTCAATCGGAGATCTGGGTTTGGTAGTGGTGTTTGGGGTGTTTAGGGGAGAACCACCGATAGAGGCGATTTTCGATCGATGGTGGCGACTTTCGGTCGCATGAAATTTAGAGAGAAGGAGGAGCATTTGTTTAGGGTAGAGAGAGAAGCGAGAGGAAGTCTGACTAGAGAGAGAGCGAGAAAAGAAAAAATGGACAATTGTGAAAAAATTTCACTTAAATACTTCTATACTCGTTCCCAGATCAGTGACGTGTGGCCATCTACTAGCCACACGATAAGAATACCTTGACTAGTTTCTCCATGTTCCCTCCTACCATATGCCCATTCAACGCTCAATCCAGTCCCTCCGTATGTTATACTTTAGATCAACGATCTAGAGTAAACTTCTGATAATCCTTTTGATCTGAATCAAACACACCCTGAAGCACTAACCCACCATAGCATCTTTGAATCATCTGCACCTTGTCTGAACAAATTCAAACAAATTGTTACGGGCCAGGCTCGTTACTGTCCACACACCCTAATTTACTTACACGAATTAAAACTACACTCCCACGCTATTGAACTCAGATTTTATTATGGGTCTGGCCTATTGCTAGTTACACACCTTAAGTTACCGCGTTCAAAACAAATACACCCCGTGCTTATTTCTAAAAATTTAATTTAATTTGTTTATTTTCGTAGTTGTTTATTTTTTTATTTAATAACTAAAATATTTTTAATAATTAAATATAATTAGTTTATTTCAAATATATATATATATATATATATATATATATATATATATATATATATATATATATATATATATATATATATATATATATATATATATATATATATATATATATATATATATATATATATATATATATATATATATATATATATATATATATATATATATATATATATATATATTTTTTTTTTTTTCTTTATATTATTAGTTATTATTATTATTAGTTCATATTATTGTTCTCTAAGACTACTAACCATTTATTTATTTTTACTAATTTACTTGTTTATTTTTCTAAATATTTTTACTAACTTCAAACACCATTTTTTTAATACTTATTCAATTATCTATTTTCACTCCTATTTTAAAATTTAAATCAAAACACTAATATAGCTAACCAATTAAAATTATTTTTCTACTAACATAACAAAAGTTCAAGACATTTTCAAAAAAAGAATTGTTAAATTGCTTTCAAATTATATTTCGAATTGCGTCTACAATCACTCAATTTTCAAACCCAGATAAAGATCAAAGGATCATTCGAAAGCAATTATACGCAATTCTATAAAAAAACTAACCAAAGACATTCGAACTACGAAATGGACTCTGATTTCTTCGCAAGAGGATACGTAGGCATGCGGTTCAAAAACC